AATAAAATGGCATAAAACTACACACACGGAGACACAAATGAGTGCATATGAAAACTGATAAAATCTGAATATGGCCTTTAGTTTCATTGACAATAATCTATACAGGTCAGTTTCCTAGGTTTGATGTGGTTCTGGAGCTACAGAAAATGGTACCACTGAGGGAAGCTGGGTGAAGGGTAAGGCACCCTCTGTACTAGCTTTGCAACATTCTGTGAGTTTATAATTAGTGCAAAATAAAAAGCTTCAAAACTAAATGTTAGGTGTAAAATTCAAGTTGTAGATTAGCAACACGATATAATTTGTGTGAATTCACAAAAAAAACCCCACATAATCATACTATATATGTTTTACAGATAAATACATAAGTAATAAAAACACTAAAAATCCAGCAGCAAACAGACACAACTTCAAGGTAATGACTATTTCTGGGAATGACTTTTAAGAGGACCTAAACTTTACCTGTAATGTTTTAATTTTAAAAAAAGAGAGAATCTGAAGTGAGGAGCTAACATTTACTATCTAGACAGTGTAAATAAGTGAATGTTACTCTCTACAACTCTGAATATTCATTCAAGGAGATTCACGGAAGCAGTCTCTGTAATTACCGAAGATCAGTAACAACCTGAACATCCATTACTGGGGGACAGCTAAGTAGGTCATCCAACAGAATACAGAGGTACCATTAGAAAAAATAAAGGGAATATGTGCTTTTAGCAAAATATCCCAAAGAGGCCAGTAAGTGGAAAAAAAGCAAATTGGAAAATAATATGTAGAGTATAATGCACATTTTTGTTTTAAAAAAATCAATATAAATCCAATATACAAATATTTGTACTAAAACACATGCTCTGTTAAAAACAGTTACTTCTAAGAAACAGTGAGCTTTTTGCTTTCTACTTTAGATACCTCTATGTTTTAAAATCTGATTTTAAAAATCTGTTTTCTTTCTGAAACTTAAGAAAGTTTTTTAAATATGTATAAGGAACTGGAGATTAAAATTTAGTGTTAAACTATTATTGCTGGGCTTTCCTAAAAGCCAAACTGCGTGCATCCTTTAGCTCCCTTATGCTTCATTCATCTGTGGGCACGTGGTCTCATCTGCACTTCCTACTGCATTAGAAGAGAAGGAAGAAGAGGAAATGGAAGCTTTCAAATGCGAAATGACTTGCCCAGAATCATACAGCTAAATGAGTTGTCAAATGAGTTGTAACCTGTAGAGTTGTTTCAGTCCATTACTCCCGTCACCTACATGGAAAACAAGCACTCATGGCAACTACCCGATGCCCTTGTAATGAGCTGGTGACTGTCACCAGCTGTGAGCGGGGCAGCACTAACTCGCCCTGACACAGTTGAATGGATGTGCCTGTGCTCCAGCCCCCACACCCGCATACCTCGGATTACACCTTGACCTGGCTCCTTCATGGGGAGGAAGAGAGAGGATATGACAGAAAAGGTGGTTTTCCCTCCACATCTTCCCCACAGCTATTCCATGCAGAGAGAGGCTGACATGAGAGGGGTCCCAGCCAGACCAAACCCCAGCAGGGTCACACCCATACGAAGGCCACAGAGTAAATCGTCCACCAGCCACAACTTCCTCCCTATGAAGGTGGAATGAGTTATAGCAACAAGGTGGTGGCAGACTCAGAGCTCTGTCCTCTCAGATCCCACTTCCAGGAAGGATTCCCCGCCCAGGTGCAGGGTATGCGGTTACCAGATAGATCTCTATTAGCTTCCTAAGGGACAGAAACCTGAGCTTCCCAGTGAAGCACCTGCCAATAACTGGACATAAAGGTGGCTGAGTCCCCATAGGGGACTCCCCTAGCTGGCCGTCTCTGCTGCAGAGCTCCCTGTAGGGATGGCAGGGCCTCTGTCACATCTGCACTGTGGTCTGAGGCTTCCCTTGCCCAAGACTGCTTCCTCCCTTTTTCTTTCATAGATTTGTGGAATTCAGATCCCAGGGTGCAGGCCCACTGAAATAGCTAATCACAGGACTATAGAATGCTTCTTCTCCCCCACACCTTACCAGCACACCACTCAGGGCCTATTTACCCAAGTCTCTTTTATCCAGTACATCGTGTGCAGCTGTCTACCAAAAAGCTGCAAGGCATACTAACAGGCAAAAAAACACAGTTTGAAGTACAGAGCTCACAACAGAACCAGACCCTGACACTTGCGGATGTTGGAATTATTGACCAGAAATTTAAAACAGTTACGATTAATAGGCTAAGGGCTCTAATGGAAAAGGTAACACATAAGAATGAATAGATACTGTAAGCAGAGAGATGGAAATTCCAAGAAAGAATCAAAAAGAAAAACTAGAGCTTAAAAACACGTTAACAGAAACGAAGAATGCCTTTACGGGGCTCATTGGTAGACTGAACACAGCAAAGGAAAAAAGTCTCTGAGCTTGAGGATATGTTCATAGAAACCTCCAAAAGTGAAAAACAAAGAGAAGAAGGACCCCCCCTTCGAGCAAATAGAATAGAATATCCAAGAACTGAGGGGCAACTATAAAAGATGTTAAGATACAGGTAATGGGCATACCAGAGGAAGGAAAGAGAAGCAGAAGAAATATTTGAAGCAATAATGACAGAATTTCTGTAAATTCATGTCAGAAACCAAACCACAGATCTGGGAAGCTCAGAGAACACCAAGCAGGATAAATGACAAAAGGTGGGTGAGGGGACAGAAGAGAAGGATCAGAAATATTATATTACTTGCAGCATAGTGCAGCATAGTGCAATTATATATTACTTGCAGCATAGTGTTGAAAGTAGACTGGATTAGTTGGTAATGTATGTTGCAAACTTGAGGGCAATCACTAATAAAAAAGCAAGAAAAGAAATATAACTGATATGCTAAGAAAGGAGTAAAAACAGAATCATATAAAATAATGCAAACCACAAAAGCCAGGAAAAGAGTGGAAGATAAGATAGGAACAAAGACCAAGGGTATCAGATAGAAAATAACTAGTATAATATGTTAGATAGTAATCCAATTATATCAATAATCACTTTAAACATCAATAATCTACATGTGCCGGTGAAGACACAGATTGTCAAAGGGGATCAAAAACTGTGACTCAATTATATGTTGTCTACAAAAAACTCATTTGATATACAAATATACATATAGATTAAAATAAAAGGATGAAGAAATATATACCATGCTAACACTAATCAAAAGAAAGCTAAAGTAGCTATATTAATTTCTGACAGACCAGACTTGGAGCAAGAAGTCATCAAGGACAAAGAAAGGCATTTTGCATAATGAAAAAGGGTCCGTTTTCAGGAAGACAGAACAATCCGGAAGTGTATGCACCAAACAACACAGCATCAAAATCATGGGGCACAAACCGACAGATCTGCAAGGAGAAATAGACAAATCCACTATTAGAGCTGGAGACTTTATCGCCCCTCTATCAGAAATGGACAGATCAGCAGGCAGAAGATCAGCAAGGACCTAGCTGAACTCAACGGCACCACCAATCAACCGGCTATAATGAACAAGCAGTAGCAGAGTGGCAGAATATGCATTCTCCTGAAGCTCACCTGGAACGTTCACCAGGACAGACCACGTTCTGGGCCACAATGCACACCTTCACGAATGCAAAAGAATAGAAATTACACAATGTCTTCTCTTAGACCACAATGGAATTAAACTGGAAATCAAGAACAGAAGGATAGCTGTAAAATCCCAACGCACTTCTAAATAGCATATGGAAGCAAAGAAATCTCTAGAGAAATTCAAAAATATTTTGAAGCAAATGAAAATGAAAACACAACTTATCAAACTTTGTGGGATGCGGTGAATGCGGTATTTAGAGGGAAGTTTGTAGCATTGAATGCATGTATTAGGAAAAAATAAAGATCAAAAATTGATAAGCTAAGTTTCCACCTTAGGAAACTAGAAAAAAAGAGCAAATTAAATCCAAAGTAAGCAGAAGGAAATAAATAATTAGAGCAGAAATCGATAAAATTTTAAACAGGAAACCACTAGAGAAAATCAACAAAATCAAAGCTGGTTCTTTAGAAAGATCAATAAAATTGGTAAGCCTCTAGCCAAATTAGCTAAAACTTACCAGCCCTATGTTGTGAACCAGATGTTTGCCTCACATTGCCAAATAATGAGCAATTTCTTATGCCAGACAGGTACATAAAAACACTAACATTATTTCCTTTCTTTCATCCATTTGATCAATCAGAACAAAGACACACTACTGATGTGCCTGTACTGTGAGACAGACACTGTTTTCAGTGTGTACACGTATCAGTGAACAACAAACAAATGAATAAATAAACTGCGTAGTACATTAGAAGGCACCAAGTGGAGAAAACCATAGAGCAGGTTAAGAGTTATGAGTATTTTTTATTTTGTTATGAATGTTTACATATATATCATATACATGTGTACATATGTTAAGCAAATACTTTCATTGTCTTCTCTCTCTTATCCCCTCATCATCTAATGTAAGCTGTGTTAATGATAGTTTACATATTTTAAGCATTTAAGTTATGGGATACCAGGAAGACTGAATATCACCCAAGGACTTGTCCCAGCAAAAGGGGGAACACCACCCTGGCTAGTGGGATTATAGGTGATTTTTTATTTTCTTTTTGCTTCCTGTATCTTCTTTTCCTTTGGTAGTATGTATGGCTCAAATTTAAAAAATTGTTTATGGTCTACAGTACAATCCCTTTTGTATACATAGCACTTCCAGCTCCTTCCATACTCCTTCAAAAAAAAACAAACTGACACCCTTGTAAGCTCAAGCATGTTAGGAGAGAGCTGTCCCCAGTACCTTTTACATATGGCAAAGTACAAAGCTGCAAAGATCACTTACCCAAAGTCACACATTGCAGCGTGTAGCCCAGCCAGGACAAGAGTCTAGGGACCCTGAAAGTCCCCTCCAAACCAGCACACTTGCTTTGTATAATTTTTCCAGCCCCCAAACCGCAGAGAAGTGAAGTGTATATGATAGACAGACCCCTTGCCCTTACCTCAGCCAGGCGGGAGTGCTTGTGCACATTCTCGCCTTTTTGCACACTTGGAGCCAGCTGCTGCAAGACGCCCCTGCTGCTTGTCAGGGCTCTGGTCAGTCGAGCGAACTTCCCCCAGCCTGGAGCACGTGGAAGAGAAAAAAGACAAGTTCAAGCACATCCTAAAGGTACATGGACACTCACACTGCAAGTTATGCTGTCAGCAGCAGACACCCGCCTTGTCCTCCTGAGCTCCCAGGAGGAACAACAAAGGTTCACTGCTCAGAAAAGCACAGAGGCTCACCTAAATCTCTAGCATTTACTATCTATCCCCTGCATTGCCATTTTATCCTAATCATAACTTGTGAAGTAGGTAGGGCAGGTTTTAGTACCTGTCTCCAAAAGGAAAAGCGAGGCACAGAGTGCCTAGACCACTACAGTCTAGGACCCAGATCTCCGCACTCTGGCCCAAGGCTCTTCAGCCAGACACTAGAGGCAATCGAGGTGTTTCTCCAACTCTCTGCCTTGACTAAGTCTGTTCCCAGCCCCGAGTCTGATCTAGCAGAGACCCAGCTAGTTCCAGGCTTTAAATGGACAGCCAGGTAATCCCATGGCCATTCCTTGCATTGCATGCTCCAAAGCTAGGAGAATAAGAAATGAATTTAATGGGTGGATAGGTGGGGAAAAGCACTGGCAGATTCTAGTCTGTTCTGGGATGGGGGAATGATGGCTGGTGACAGGTCCCCTTCAAACTAGAAACTCTGAGAGCCTAGTACCAAACACAGTATCCAGAGCCCAAGAAAGAAATCTGGATATAAGTCCTATCTCTGCCTCCAGCTTGCTTTGTGGTCTCCAACCAGTTGTTTAAGCTGTCTGGGCTCAATTATCTCATCTATAAAAAGAAAAGAAAATATTCTACCTGCCTAAAAGCAGGGTATGTTTGCCTGGTAAAACAAAGGAGTTAAGTCTAGTGGGCTCTGACTGACGGGCTGAAACATGTTGGCCTGAGGCCTCCTTGGCCTCTGTACTAGGTCTCCAGGACAAGTCAAATGCTGATCTTTTTCTAATCCAGCCCGTGCTATAAACCCAGAATCAAAGACATTTGAGTAATCTTTACTAAGAACTTAAGACGTATGAGCGATCTTTTAAAGATCCCCAAAGACAATTGTCCATTCCAATACACAACAACCCCTTTGCATCAAGGTCATGACCACGGCAATGGCCTCATGGAACCCCTAAAAGCCTGTTGGAATTTTCAAGGCCAAGCTTGGGGTGGAGGGTCTCCAGAAAATAAACAGAGCATGCAAGTATCTTTACATGACAGCTAAAAGTGGGACAAGGCAATTTTATTTTTTGTCCTTTAGGTTTGGCGGTATTCAGCACCTGGCCGCAGAACTCTCATCTGCCAAGTGTTACCCTGGAGCACCTTTCCAGGACAAACTAAGAGTCAGGAGGACAGTGCCATTAAGCGAAAGAATGGCCCTGTCTTTGCAACAAGCTTTAAGAATCACAATCTGGATAAATTTTTGTCAGTAAGGCAAGAATAGCAAATAAGTTCTTTTTATCACATTCCAGAAGTTCTGGGCTTTAATAAAAGATAGTAGAATTTTTTATCATACATTCTCATGCTGGCAAGCAAAAATATGGGCCCGCTGGAGTCAGCTTAGAAAGACGAGTGTGGTGGTCAGGTTGTGGGGGGTTCCACTAATGTAAACAGGAAGGGACAACCCAGACTCTGCTGGTCTGGGTTTGAGTTCTACAAAGTTTTCAAGAAGAGCAGAAAGTATGTTTTTCAATCAGATAAAATAATAGCTGTACGGGCAAACATCAACAAGGGTTTTCTGCAACTCCCCTCCCACCGCACCTTCCACTACCATCACCACCACCTCCACCACGACCCATACTCTGGGACCAATGGTGAGGAGATGGAAGAGCAGACACCCCAGACCCTGCCCGGCAGGGAGCTTGCAGCCCTGGTCCATCAGCTGATACAGCGCAAAAGGATGTAATGAAAGATCCCTGGACCTGTGGGTATCTCTCTGGGCTCAGGCTAGCTTCTCACTCTCTGCCTGAGCCCTGAGTCACTTTTCGAGAATGTGACCCCCAAAAGAGCTGGCTGAGTGGAGGGCATAGGAAGGCAAATGACTGTTGGATGAAGCAATGTGAAATTGTCCATTACACCTCTACCAGGATGGGCAGACTCTGCCTGTGCTGAAGGAAGGAAATAAGTTCTCCCCCAAATTCCACCCCCATGTTTTCCTTTCTGAACTGCAGACACTTTCTAATAGGAATCCTTACCTCGCCAGATGACAGAACTTCATTCATTCCTGTATTAATTCTATAAACACAACTACTATATACCAGGCAGAGGGCTAAGCACTCAGATGAAGAAGATACAGACTCTGGCTACAAAGAGCATGCACGTGAGTAGGGAAGATTGATAAATAAGTAAAAAACACGACAAACGGTAAGCTAAGTTCTACGACAGAAGTGAGTAAAGAACACTACGGCCCAGACTGTCCAGAGAAGGTGTACCTAATCCAGGCTGGGGAGTCAAGGAGGGCCTCCAAGAGGAGGTTACATGAGAACAAAATTGTGAAAGATGGGTAGGAGTTAAAAACTCAAAGAGACAGACATTCCACACAGAAGGAAGAGCATCTCTGAAGGCAGAAAATCACAAAATTGGGTAATATGTCTGTCAGTGAAGAGTAAGAAATCTACATGGTCAGGTGAGCAGGCGTGGCCTGCAGGAGAGGCTGACAGTGGCCTGACATGATGCTAACGAGGCTGTCAGAGGCCAAATTGAGCCGAACTTAGATGGTGAGAACCTAGACAGCAAGTTAAGGGATTTGAACTTCATCCTAAAACCCGGGGAGAACCACTGGAGGAGCTGAAATACGATGGGGAGGGAACGTACACCGAGTTCTTTTAAGAAGGACAGCATGGCGGTGTGGGTAGTACACATAAAAACAAAAGGCTAACAGGTAAAGGACGTCAGGATCCAGGCAAGACACTGTGTGGGCCTAGACCAGGTGCTAACCTGGGCCAGGCAACGAGGGGAAACTCGAGAACAGATACACAGCTAGACTATAGAGCTGGGTGAGCAATGGCTGCAGAGGGACAGAAGAGGCAACCCTGGTGGCTCTGGGTTCCTGGTTTGGGTGGCTGCAGTCACAGCCATGCAATGAAGTTACAAACACAGGCAGAGAAGCCAAAGGGTTTGATAGATGATAAAATGTACAATTTGGACCAACGATGTCCCTTATAGCGGAGCAATCAGGAGAAACATCCCTGGAAAAAACAAATCTCCTGCTATCCAATCAGCCAACAGGGAGGGGACACCCCAATGAGAACCTAGTTTAGAAAATGCAGCTGCGGTGGGGGAAGGTAAGAGGGCTGGATGAAAACAGGTGAAGGGATTAAGAAGTGCTAATTGGTAGTTACAAAATAGTCATGGGGATGTAAAGCACAGCATAGGGAAATAGTCAATAATAATTGTATGAACTATGTATGGTGCCAGGTGGGTCCTGGAAATATCGGGGGAACGCTTTGTAAAGCACGTGATTGTCTTGTCTAACCACTATGCTATATGCCTGAAACCAATACGAAATAACATTGAAAGTAACCTATAACTTAAAAAAAAGAAAAGAAAGAAAGCTGACATACCCTCCTCCCAGGAAGCCTTTTCTTATTACTGCTCTACCCCCAGCAAAATTGCCCACGCCCTCCAGTGTACACCCATTTTCCTTAGGCAGACTCCTATTTATTCGGCACACACTTATTGGGTCCCCTTCAGGTGAGAGGATGATGTCAGGGGGCGGGGAAGCATGAAAGGAAAGGGACAGAAGGAGGGGGGCATAATGCACAATCTAACAGTCACTCAAAAGTACTCACTGGGTCTTTTCTCCATTCTCAGCAAGGACCCTCCCCCTTTCCTTGACCCCACAATGGCTGCAGGTTTCAACTGGGGTGAGTCCCCCACTAGGCTACTTTAGCCCACACAAGCCTGTATCCCTCGCAGGCCAGAAGAGAGGGCTCTGGGATGAGCTGTAGGTCCAGGGGTACCAGAAAAGACAAATCTACAGGCCCTCCCTTGTCATGCCAAGTCCCTCTGAGCAGAAGTTACAGAGGACTCCTGTAAGGTCTCCCCACCCCCGTGGGAAGGCTGTGAGGCCAGGCTTGTCCTGATCGCTAGAGTTAGATTCTCTTAGAGGAGCTGGTGCCATAACCCAATGTGCAGAAGAGAACAGCAGACACATGGGACCAGGAAGGACACTGCCTAAATGCCCTAGAGTCTTCCTCCCCCCTCTTTTCCCTACTAAGGTACAAATAACCAGAAATCTACAATGATGTCTCCAAGTAGCCATCAGAAAATCGTCACCTTTCCATCATCCTGAGGGAACAAAATAAGCATTAATACTGGAGGGGAGAGAGGGTCTGTGGCCTGTGTCCATTACTGTGTTTCTTTCGCAAGAGCGCCTCATGAGTATCTCACATGAAGGCACTGACAGACGGGTTGGCAGTTACACCAGCCAGCCAGAACCCTCTCTTCCAAATACTCTACCTCTCTGGCCTTCAAAAATCTCCTCTGGAGTTTTCCATTCCTTTTGTTGTCTGCTTTTGGCTCAGGTTTAACTATAAATTTAGAAGTCAATACATGTATCTTTGAAAATGGATTTGCTCCTTTAATATGAGATTACTTGGTGGGATAAGAGGGAAAAAAGAAGAGGGATGACTCATTCTTTGGTGAGCAATGCAGAGAAAAGATCCTGAGCCTTATACAGGGATTCTTCTCGACACACTCGCCCAAGGCTCCTTGGCTCAGAAGGGAGAATGGGATAGAGAGAAACATTCTGCAGGCTGCTCCCAATTGCCCGTAATATCAGAAAAGCAAGAGGTAAGAAACAAATGAAACCCCTGGAACATCACAGATTCTCATTTCAGCCAAGAATTCCCATTTACTCTCTCATTCAGCCTTCACACACACACACACACACACACACACGTGCACACGCACACACACATCAGAGCTATTACCAAACAGCAAACCTGGCTTGACCTTCATTCCTTCTCCATGCCAACTGTGGGCACTTACTGTCAGAGTGCAAGGGAATAAGCCACAAGATGGACAGAAAAGAGGAGATGAGAGGGTCAGGGGCCCGGATCATTCATTGAAAGGATCGTGAGAATGGGAACATTAATGAAAGAGGGGGCTCAGGGCTCCCAGGGCTCATCGCCTGTGCTCGGAGCTCCAGGGAAAAGGCAAGTTACTTGGTGTTGGGTGTTATATAAACTGTTGTCATGTGTTTAACCCTTTGGGGGTTGTTTGTGGGACAATACTAGGCACCAAGTGGCATCTTGAATCCAGTGTTAGGATGCACCCACCCCACTCCCAAGCCCAAAGTTAGGCACTACATGATCAGAGAAAACAAAGTCGGTTAGAAACAACTGGAGCACAACTGACTTTTATAAAAGACTAATCCGATGGTGGGACAACATCTCGCGCTGCCACACCAAAGAGCAATTATCTGGGGATTTTTCTGGGATTTTGGGTGATCCACCCTTTCATTCCAGCTCAAAAGTGAACTTGAAACAAGCCTGGGTCCAGACTCTTAAGACCCTAAATGCTGATGGAAGGGCTGTGCTGAAGCCCCACTAGATCTGTGGGCTGATCTGAAGCCCCACAACTCGAGAGCTCATCCAAGGAGAGACGTCAAGGCAGAGAGCAGCCCAGCCACGGGGCAGCACATTTTCCATCTCGATGAGGTCCTCATGGCCAGAGCTGCAGGTTATAGGCTTACGATGTACAAGGCCTGGAGAATTATCATGGTCTTCCATCACAAACAGACTAGTATAAAATCTGACCTTGTCCTAATCAGATCACCAAATCAACATGGGCCAGGGGCACAGTGACATGACAAGTGAAAGCCTACACACACCTGCCGTGGCATTTCCAATGGACAGGCTTATGAAGACACGTCCTGGAGAAGGTGTGAGGCACGAAGCACTAGCAGGGCATCTACACGGAGGACTAGAGCACACGTGTGTGGTGTGTGCTTTAAATTTTTACAAATCAAGCCACGTGTACTACTCTTTATTTCACAGACAAAGAGAAGTAATATCTGGCTCCCTTGGCTAAAAGGTAATGTGTGTGTGTCTCTGTGTGTGTGTGTGTGTGTGTGTGCGTGTGTGTGTACACCAACACTGTATCAAAAAGGAAATATATCACTGAGGCAGATAAAATGAAGTGGAGCATTTTATTTCTGGAAAATAAACCTAAGTGACTCTCACCACGTCACTCACATAAGGGAGTCTCATTTGGCACACACAACATGACTTTTCTTTCAGGTTTCATGAAAATCAGATGCAGACACTAGGTGACATGTGATGAGTACTCTCTGTTGAGTATGCCTTTTTCTATGAAACAACACCTCCACGTCACCTAAAAATGTCCCAGCAGTGATAATAAGAACATAGTCCAACTCAACAAAATCACATATTTTAAATTGTTAAGAGAAAACTGGCAAAAAGAAGTGCCAAAATATCTGATGCCTTTAAAAATATGATTTATGAGTTTATTCATTTAAAAGAGCAAGTGGCCTTTCTAGGTGGTAGCAAGATAACACTTAATTGAAACTGAGTCTACCGCCACGTAATAGCTGTTGCACTGAGAAATCCTCAAGTCAAACACAAGAAATCAGGGAATCACAAATCTGCAGGAGACAAGGCAGCGGCAGGAGGCCAAGACACTGGCGGCGAGGTTTTACATCTGCTGAAGTCTAAAAACCAAAAAAAGTCAGGCTGCAGCTGATTTATTACACTATCAGGTAGTTTAAAAAAATAGAATGCACTGGTATACACAGCATTGTTCTCTGAGCTCTGTAAATGTGAGCGTCCAAATGTGCCAGGATTTTAAATACCCTCAAAGCACCCAGCCCCTGAGAGAGCATCCACATAATTAATGCTTTTTAGTTCCTCCTATAATGCCCATTTAACAATCACAGTTTGATGACTTCGAGAATAACTGTGCCCCAGTTTGACTTCTCGGGATTCAACTCTCCTCTCTCTGCCGCACGTCGGAAAACCGCAGGTGCGGAGCTCCCCTGTGGGGCTGGGCAGTCCACCACAGAGCCAGGACGCACTGCAATAGGAACTCGCCCCTAGCCTCTTATCAGGAGTGATCACTTGAGAAGAGGGACGGAAAAAGGTGCTGGGACATCCTCTAATCCCAAGCCTCTTGGGGTAACATGCCATCTTTTGCATATCCTCTTCAGGGGTACAGTTGTTCTAAAAAATCCTTTCCCAGTCACTGGTGTTCCATAAACTGCCCACATGCGATGGGGCTGAGTTGAGTGCTCAACTTGGTGGCCACAGCTGATTAAACCTCACAGACTGAAGTGTTACTCATGCTCATTCATACCACGTTTCAAGTGTTATAAATTAACTGGATGCACACTTACGCAACCACACAGGCAGAAATAAACGAAAGCCTACTTCAGCAATTTGGAAATGCTAGAACTCAGTCAAATCCGAAGAAGTGTACATGTAAAAAGGTAAATGTGGCATGGACTGCCTCACTTGAGTGACTGACAGCTGTCTTGTAAAAACCCAGAAAGATTCTGATGATATCACAGGTGCCCAACTACATTCCTCTGTTTAAACTTTGTCGGAAAGGGTTAATCTGAAAAGATATAAAATTGATTGGAATGCCTTCCTCAACAAGGTTTTTTCCCCTCCCCCTCTCCTCACTCCATACATCCCAGAGTGATACAACGCTTTACCCAGCACGTAGTAAAGTTTAAATCTTGATCTTGGTGCAGAGATCGCCTTGGCAACCTCAAATTCTCTACAATGCGTGTCACCACGCGGGCAGAAAAAAAAAGGCATAAATACATTTGTACAAATCAGAATTACAAACCTTTACATGAATCATCCTCAATTGGCTGCTTGAAAGCTGTTATGTCACTGAAAGTGCAAAGAAATAAAACCACTTTATCCTGTTCATTTCGAATTGGAGCAATTTTCACAAAGAACCACACAGGTGTCCCTGAAAGAAATATCAAAAGGTTGGTCAGTCATTTGCATTCTCATTTGAGGGGCTATGGAAGCAAAGACTTGGGAATGAATAGCTACAAATATTAATTCAGTTTTTAAAAAGCTTCTTTTCTTCAGGTGCTGGGGTTATTATACCATTCATTTCTCTTCTCGCTGGAATAAAAACTTTCACAGTGACTACTCAGTGGGGCTTTTCTTTCATTAAAATAATTTCATAAGTGCAGCTCTCTTAACTCATGAAACGATTGGAAAATGGGTTGACAATCCCCCTCATCTCTGGTAGTAAGGTACAGAGACCTGCAGGCTTGCTCGAGACCATGTAGTGGGCAAGCAAAGCGGAGGAGCAGAATGGGCATTGCCAGCATGGCCAGCAGACCATGCAAACCCAAATTTCCCAAAGGGCCCCAGAGTCAAAATCCAGTTTGGGAATCCATCAGTTTGGTTCACGTGCTCAGTCAGCCATGGACCAAAAACTGTGTTTCTAAGTCTCTATCCCTAAAATAAAAATCCAAAGGTCCAAACAATAGCAAATGACAACACATTAAGACGGGAAAGAATTGCTGCAATGACTCTCCCAGCAAAGGCTCCCCCAGAACAGGAGGTCTCCAAGGGGGTTTGGGCGGTGATTACATCATGCCTCAGGGTACTCAGTGAATGTGTTCAACTTCCAGTCCTTGCTCCTGAGCGAAAGTGGGGGATAAATGAGCCTCTCCAATGCATTGAGCTGATCCACAGAAGAAGCTGGGCAGGGTTCATCTGACTGCCTTCTCAGATGCCCACTCAGGTATCCATGGCCAAATACCTACACAAAGTCAGCCTCTGGCTCCCGAAATATAACGAGGGAAAACAAACAAGTGTTTTCTATCTATAGAGGACATCAGCAAGATGGACCAATCAATTCTGTGGCCCAAAATTAAATGAGACACAAAGGAATTTAATAAGCTCTTCCCCATCTATTTCTTGTGTCTTTTTTCCTAAAAGAGGATCTGGCATATAAGAGCTTAATAACTATTTGTTGAATTCTGTATTACTGGATAGTATTTTACATACTATTTTAGAATCATTTTCAAGTTAAAATACAGTAAATATTCCTCTATGTTGTTAAGTATTAGAGAAGCTTCCAGGCATCCCAGGCACTGTACTCAGTATTTTATTTTATTTCATTTCATTTCATTTCATTTTATTTTATGAGCTAGCAAGCAAATAACTCACTGAATCTTGGAGATGGAGACAGATCCCCAAGAGGTCACCTGGGTCTCTCTGCCCACAATCACATTAACCTCCCTACTATACAACACAGACAGACATCTCACAATATTAGAATTAGCCAGCCTAATTTAACATGTAAATTAAATCTAGACACACCAATTACACATATGTAAGTATGACTAACCCATATAAAACAGGCAGCAAATAGATTAAGCGAGAAATTTCACCTTAAATCTTAATTATCTATGTGTTCATCTGTAGCTCATTTTAATCCTCTGTCCATTTCCCCTTTCTGTAATTTTTAGCTGCCATTTTCTGGGTGCTCTTAGAAGACAAATGGGTTATGTCACTAAGAAAAATGTGTTTGAAAGGAAAACCCACCATACAAAATTCACAAATGGCATTCCAACATCAAGAAAATGTGGCCTCTGTGTTATCCACTGTTTTGGAAAGTTTGTTACTGCTTGTCCTTGTCTCCGACTCAGAAGTTGTAGAATTTTAAGCCATTTTCCATTAAGCAACAGAAAACTCAGAAGAAAGCATCGCACAACTGGGCCTACACACCCACAGATCCCAGGTAAGACAAAAAAAAAACAAGTCAAAAAACCACTTTCCCTTTGTACTACAAAAAACTTAAAGTGAATTTCTGTTGAGGAGATAAGCCAGAAAGCACTTCTGATTTATTGAAGTAGGAATAAATCAGATGAGAGGACCACCATTCATGGTGTCTAACACCAGCAGTCCTGTCTTGCTGTAATTCCCGGAACCCTTCCCTTCACGGCTGCCATCTATGGGCCCCCAACTTTGCTGCATTGGCAGAGCCTCATGCCTGTGACCATTCCAGTTGGAGCAACACCATCTAATCTTTATATCGCATTTATGACTACTGAGATCGATGGCATTAACCCACGTCTTGCAGATCATGAGCACCCTATGTTAGTCATATTGGGAGGTCTTTTTCATTTTAGCACAATTCAAGCTCATCATGAGCTCCTCCCATTTCATCAGCTCAGACTGTTTAAAGCTGGGTGCTTCTCTCCACTAAATTATGCCCACTGCTTGCTTCCAGAAATATTCCCTTATTAAACATCCCTTTTCAGTATCTAAAGATGTGTCTTGTACCAGAAATTCATATAGTCAGTATGTATTGCCTTAGTGTTCATCTCCAGCTGATTTTTCACACTTGTTGAGGGAGGGAATATTTTTGCTGATATGCCGTTTCCCTGTAGAGGGACATCTTTCCATGTAACACTTGGGCCTTTTTCTAGTGTTGGTAAATTGGGGGCAAGAATTGGACATGTGTAGCTCGAACACTTCTCCCCCTCTACTCTCTTAGAAATTAGTCTATATTCTGCTCTGCTTTTCCACTCTATAAATGTTAGGGGAGAGGGCAGGGAGGACGGCTGCTAAGAGAACTGAAGTTCTCCACTGCTACCTGGGATAAGTAGGTAAGTCTGTTTGATTAAAGTAAAGTGAAGTAAATTCCAGAATTTACTTTAAGAAACTGTTGACCTCAAAAAATAAAAGTGTCTATTATTTTACCTGCAAAAATGGGCTTATTTGGGAAAAACAATTACAATTCTAGACATGCAAGCTATGACAAAACCATAGGCAAACCTGAACAAAGGAGAGAAATGTTCTTTTATAGAGGAAAGAGGTAGGTTGGAGGGGGGGGCCGGCGTTATGAGTTGGGCTTTTACAAACACAGTCCTTTGCAGAAAACAGGGAGTTCCAAATGTAGTGTTTTTCATTGGCAGAGTTATGAAAAGGGCTGACTTCTTGCCAGGCAGGGAGAAGATGGTAAAGTAGAAACATGTTCCTGTTGGAGACTTGAGCTATGGGTGGGTCTCTTCCAGTTTGGGGTAATTGATGATGAAGTGGTAAGCCATAAGAGCTCCCCCTACAGGCCCTCCTGACTCTTGTTTAATTGAGGTTTTCTTTCTTTTTGCAAAACTCACTTGCCCACAGTTATGAACTACATTTTCCAGGATCAGCCTTACTACTCATAAAGGTGATAGTACAATCCCTATTTGCTGGATTCCTATATCTCTCTCAAGTAGTTCTTTCTCAATTAGTTCTAATCACAGGAAGGGAATAACAGTGCTGTGTAATGGCCTCCTCAAGCCTTAACAATTGAGGGTTGTTTCTTTAAATAAATCATAATCCACCCCAAGGAAATCTGATCCACTTTCTGTCTTACATCCTACACCCTACATTACAATGGCGTCTAATGTAGTATTATGCGTAGGGGAATTTGGCCATTACATTGCTCAACTCCAGGGGCCGCCATCCTGACGTGGTGAAGCTCAGTGACCTTGGCAGGGTAGCTAGCTGCTCTAGAAATGCTTCCTGAGTTTCAAAGGAAATAAATCCTGTTTCCAGTGCCTTCACAGTCACTGAAACCTGCCTCTCTTCCAAATTATCACTACCAAACAATCTAGAAAAGCAAGTACAATGGGCTTAAATTTTCACTTCTGAAAGTCTTCTAAAAGAGAACAGGAGTCCCTCCTACATGTCACAGACTAACTTCTCCTCCTAAAAGCAAGGCATTTTTAACTAATAAAATATTACTCTAAGTTTCAGTATATTAGACAATTTCTTCCAGTGAATATGAACCATCGAGAACCCAGCCACCCACTTTCCTTTCCACCCCTCTGGAGGCCCCCCGACAATATTCTCCAGCCCTTTGGCTCTATTCAGAGACAGACCTGCCCAGAGGCAGGGGCCAGGGCAGTTGGCCTCCAGGGATTCTCTCCTAGAGCCCGGATTCCTCAGCAGGACCCATTCCATCAAGATCCAAGACATAAAGTAGATGCGCAAATATTCACACACAATTTTAAAAAGAGTTTAAAATTCTACCTCCTCACCCCAGTAGCTACAGTGGAAAAACCAACAAAAGCAAGTACTTCATGTCCTGTTTCTGTGAAAAGGACAAAGGGCCAATCATAAATTCTCTGTTAAAAGAAGATCAATACACAAATCTAGGAGAAACACAGCATCTGGCAGTCCTACCGAGAGCCCAGGCTGCTGCTGCTGTGACAGCAGCTCTGTCCTGGCCAAGGACGCCCAGTGGAGGGACAGCTCAAGTCAGGCTCCTCCTTCTCATCACTCTGTGATTCTCACCCCTACAGGGTTCCACTGGGTCATGTATCGATGCACCTGACAATCTAACCTTGCTCTGGGGTTTTCAACCCCAGCAGTCAGATAACAAAACAACAAGGCTCAGGTGCATGAGAGAATTTTTGGCCTCCATCAATCTTCCCCCTACTCTGGCCTTCCTCTCAGGCACTCTCTGTGACCATCCAGCCAGGCAGCCAGGCCACATTCCACAGCAACAGAATCAACCAAGGTGCTGTGATTGGCTCTTGGGAGGGGCTGCATGTGCTGGGCCATTTGGATAGGTCCAGAGACTGGACTAGGGAATGGCAGCCTGCCCCCAGGAACAGATCAGTTGGTCTGCGGTCGACTTCATTAAGACAAATGACAAGTGCAGAGAGGATGAGACAGCACCAGGAGGATGTAGTGGCCACTGGCCATTAGAACAACTGTTCTGGAATTCTAGGCCGGGGATTTGAGCCCTGCATCTTTCTTTATTTTGTGGCTTGGCCATGTCACTTTAACTTCCCTAGGAATCAGTTTCCTCATTTGTAAAACAGAGATAATAGGACTACTTAAGATTAAGTAAAAATATACTCATGTTTGATACATAGATATTTAAAATGATTACTTTGCCTTCTTCCTTCCTTTTACATTCTTTATCTGTGCAACCGAAATGCTCAATCT